AGTTTGAAATTTTTTTTTTTTTTTTTTTTTTTTTTTTGACACAGGGTTTCTCTTACAGACCTGGCTGTCCTGGAACTCATTCTTTAGACCAGGCTGGACTCAAACTCACAAAGATCCACCTGCACAAGCGCCACCACTGCCCAGCTGGGCAATTCTAATTCTATCTCTTCTAAGCAGATACAAATAAGACAACCTTCATAAATGTGTTTTTGCTATGAATCTGATCAAGACCTTATGAAGAACAATATATCACATTATTATTCAAAACTATATTGTAGAAACTCGAGTAATAGCTCATTAGTAAAATGCTGACCATGTAAACATAATAAAGTATTAATAGAAAAGAGTCAAATTTTTCACTTTTATAGGTTTTTAAATACCTGAGTTTGTAAAGAAAACCCCAACAAACTATGCAGCCCAAGTTCATGAGGACACGGAGACACGGAGACAAGGACACACACACACACACACACACACACACACACACACACACACACACACACACCACACACACACACACACTGTTTTGGCTGAGGAGTAGAACACTTGCCTAGAATCTGTGAAGCACTAAATTCAACTCTAAAAGCACGGAGAACATGGAAAACTATAAAATTCCTTCTAAGCTCACTCAAACTCTGGATCATAGTATGACAGCTTCATTGCTATTTTTCAGCTTCCTGGGCTAGCAATGGCATTCTCCTGTTGCTAAGCAGTGGTAGTGATCATGGCTCTTTCTTAGACGTGGGATAACTCTATAATACAGTGGTACTGCGCTATGATGGTTCAGTAGGTTGAATGTATTAGGTACATTTTCAACTCACACAATTCTCAGGGAGGAAGCACTTCTACATATGTATTCTACTTTGTATTTCTTTAAAAACAGTGGTGTATCCTGTCTACTCTAGAAATTTCTACATAAATAAACACAGATGATTGTAAGCTTCTGATCCCCCAGCCTCCACCTCCCTAGTGCTACTTTACAGGAGTGCACCAGCACACCTGGTTTATCCCATGCTGAGAACGGAGCCAAGAACATCACACATGCTAGGCAAGCACTGTCGAATAAGCTGTCCCTAACCTCCAACTTTATATATCTATTAAATGCAATTAATTGACATTCTGACCAGAGAAACGGGGAGCTAATGTATTATTCTAACATTGTTCTTTTCTTCAATTCACTTTTATATTTATACATATTTTCTCAAATAGATATTCTTAAGCATTTCTAACAAACATATTATTCTTCCATTTATCTACAAGGCAAACATTCCAAGATCCAGGGGATCTAATGCCCTCTTCTGACCACTGCATACACATGGTGCAAACACACACACACTCACACACACACACACACATACACACACATACACACACACACACACACACACACACACACACACAAATAAATATTTTTTAAAAGAGACAAAATATCTTGTTTTTAACTTACAACTTGTGTTTCCATAAGCTTGCGTAACCTTGAAAAGCAAATGGTCTTTGTGGTTCATGGAACTTAAGCACACTAAGGTTGCTGAATGTCCTAAAATTCTGTGTAGATAGGAAATTTTATATAGTAATCCTAGGAATAGATTCTAAAATTAAATACTGAGTTTACTTAATAGTGTTTTATCTTCTTTGGCTTAAGTTTTTGTGTTTATACATGACTGGCTATATTTGACCAGAGTTCTATTTAAAGGGTCCCCTTTGGGGGACTGGAAAGATGGCTCAGTGATTAAGAGCACTGGCTGCTCTTCCTGAGGACCTGAGAAGACTGATTCCCAGTACCCACATGGCAGCTGATAACAGTCATAGGGGATGATGCCCATCTGAACAGACACATGCAAACAAACCACTCCCACACATACAAATAGTTTCTTTTAAAAGGGGGATCCTCTTCATAGTTCCTTCTTTACAAGGAAACTGCTTTAGTAAAGCAATCTGCATCTGCTACATGCAAATTTTATACTTAGTTATGTGCAAAACTCTTTTACCCATCCCATAAATGTTTATTGTTTCTATAAGGCGTAAGGCATTGTACAGAGGAGGTAGGATATCAATTAATAATCCTCTACCAAAAAAAAAAAGCAGTTTATAATGTAACAAAGTAAAGAGATTGGCTCATCATGAACCTCGACGGGGTGGGTGGAATTCTGGGGTCAATAGTTTTAAACCACAAAGGCTGACAGCTTAGTCAAGAAAAGTTTCGAAATATGCCCTGCATGACCAAGGATCACTACCTTTTCCCATGAAAGGAGAAAATGTGACTGCTCAATCCAGCTCAACATACACTTTAATAATTCACTGACACACATCAGTGCACAGGACATGAAACTGATTAGTTCCATATTTATTAATGGACTTGTATTGTTGATTTCTGCCAAAAGTATTTATAAAATTCTGTAATGCATATTAAGTAAAGGTACACAGAGAGTGGGCTATAGAAATTGCTCAGAGGGAGAATGCTTAGCTGGTATGGATAAGGTCCACCACCACCCACATACACATCCCAAAAAGAAAAGGAAAAGTAAGCACATATATACAGACTAATCAAAAGAAACAGATTCGAGAGAATAAACCTCTTAAGATCTAGATATCAGCAAAATTTCCATGTCTATATAATCTTAACATTAGTCTTTACCAATAAATACTGTGAGTGTAACCACACCATTTCTAATTACAAGGACTAGCTGATACACACACAATATGTAGTGCCTACTACACAGCAAGTAGGATTCCAGTGATTTGAACCAATTTATCTTTCCACAACCCTAAATGAAGTATTATCTCCACTGGACAAAAGAGGACACATCGAGGGTGGAGGAGCTGAAGAACAGCAGACTCAAGATTCCACTTCAAGCAGTACTGTTCCAGAACCATGCTTATGCTACCGTTAGATAGTATCTCTAATGAAACCGTTAAACTTAACCCCTTGATACTTAATCACTCAACAAAAAAAACTATTTTGTGCAAGGAATGGGTATTTCTATTAATTGAATTTTAGAAATGGTGCAGTTTGTAAAATTTTATCTGACAACTTAATTTGTAATTCTTTATACTGATTTTTTTCTTTGCAAAAAAAATTATAAACATGAAGGTTGGAAAAATGGCTCAGCAGATAAGAGCACTGACTGCTCTTCCAGAAGACCTGGGTTTGACTCCCAGGACCCGCATGGTGGCTCACAACCGTCTATAACTCCAGCTCTAGGGAATCCAATATCATCTCACCTCTACAGTGGTACACACACATGAACAAAGGCAAAACACCCATACACATAATTTTCTTATTTTTATTTTTAAAAAGGTACAGACATGATGCTAATGCATGGTGATAAATGCCCATAACCCCAGCATTAAGGCAGGAAAATTACCACAAATCTGAGGTCAGCCTGGGCTACAAAACAGGAGTATCTTAAAACAAAGCACAAATCACAAAGAACAATTATCCCAATAAATGACAGATGGGGAAACTGACAGATGGGGAAATTAAATAATTTGTTTAAGGCCAAAACACTAGAGCTAACTTTTAGAACCAGATAACAATGTGAGATCCCAGAATACACACTCTTAGTAATTTTACTATGTCAATTTTGCTAAATGCTTTGTATTAATACTAAGGACAATAATGGTAGTTATTGGACACCCACCCATAACTTAAGTGCTTATTATATTTCCTTTTTAAAATCAGTTGGGGACACTAGAACATTTACTCTTAAGTATACTATTAATCTTAAGTTTTGTTAAATTTATAGTAACAAAATTGTTACTAAGCTCACTAACTTCAGAAAAATGTATAATGGGCTAATCTTCTTTGCCACTGGAGGATTAAGATTTAATTCTAGATCAGATGATCACATGTATACTGCTACTTCACATGGAATAGAGCCTATGACATATAGACAAGAAAACAATGGAAAGGAAAAGAATGTCTTTATTGACACTATGTTGGGAATTTTGTGATAACATACAAGAATGGTTAAGACATATGAGAAGTAAAGACATTAACCAGTAGCTATAGTGACAAATAAGAAATATATAGTTACATGTTGGCGTATACAGAAACACAAGCTACAGCAATGACAACCATAGCACCACAAGGACTGGGAAAGGCTTCACAAAAGGCTTTTGAGGAAGAGTGGTTGTTTCCAGAATAAACAAACTAGAACTAGGGTACATATAGTCAATTTTCCTCAATTTTTTTCCATTCATTTATTTAGCTCATAAATAAAGTCATGCACAATTATGATACACAA